ACAACTTCACAACTTCACAACTTCACAACTTCACAACTTCACAACTTCACAACTTCACAACTTCACAACTTCACAACTTCACAACTTCACAACTTCACAACTTCACAACTTCACAACTTCACAACTTCACAACTTCACAACTTCACAACTTCACAACTTCACAATCTTGATACCACGGGATCGTATTATCCAAAACATACGAGGACTCTAACGTAAATTTCCGCCTACAATTTCCCCCAGAAAGCCACGAATCACCGCCGGCTTCATCCTCCTGCGCCCTCCCACTCCTTACCAATGCTTTAAAGATCAAAGCCTCACCGAAGCGCAGATTCTGCGTCGCAACAATCTGGGATAGATGAGAAACTGACGTGTTTTGTATGTCTTACGAGTGCATTTTCAGCGTCTTCACCGCACTCTACTGACATGTCAGCCCCCCCGGGTTGACTATTGCGTTATTCGCCCCACAGCCCAGCCATCCAACAAGGCCCTCTCCAAAAATATGAGGCTGAGACATCGGATCGGAATTGGTCGTTCTACCAAGGCATAAAAGGAACTAGCGGTGGAGCTCGCGCGTGAATTCCCGAACCCGGACACGCTAGAAATTGGCAGGATTGGCGCCATCGGCATTCATGTGGTTTTTGGTTTTCGCCGATCTCGATTTTACAATCACATCGAAAGAGGGCGGAAAATAGGTCACTTTAACATAGAGAATGTCCGAAAAGAGACCGCGAAACGAAACAAAAAAAAAAAAAAGACAATGGAAGCAAGAAGCAAATGCCGAAGCGCGACGTGTCATTTCCGATTGTCCCCATGCCTGGTATCACCGGACTCATCCCTAGAACCTCAAAGAGAAGGGACATCTATTCCTTATAGTGGACAATCTTTCCTGGCGATGCAGAGGGACTGGAGAATGCCGGGCACTCGAGACCTTTCTCTCCTTCTATTTTCGTGCTCATTTCGTGCCGCTTTTTGGTCTCAGTGGAAAAGGGAGCACGCCCCCGGGTTAGGATGGTGTATGCGTTTCCACTGTAAATCCACACAGTGGCTCCCCTGAATGATGTGCACGTCCAATATCGAAAGTGGGCTCGAGATGTGTCTCACCTTTTCTGGAATCCATCACCGGTGTTCTCACATGAAGGATGGACATCATGGCAATTGAAGGGGACTCTATTAAAGTAAGCCCGACCTACCCCAATACTAAATACAGGAAGTGTAATACAGAAGTGTAAAGCGTGTGTTTATGCGGATACTTGGCCCCATAGCGCGATATCCAGCAGACTAGCAAGATCCGTCGTACCGTCCTCTCTGACAACAGCGCGTCCAGAGCCTTTCAACTCTTCCCAGTCCCGACGATGCCGTTCAATGGTGTCTCCCATAGCAGATGCATTGAAAATTTCGCACATTCTCCAATGCGCATCCAGAATTGCGGGGCATGGAATCTCATGTTCTGTATTTGGCAAAAGCCGGACGTGCCGATCGGAGGGGATGGCAGGGATGTCAGCCGGGGGATAGCGCTTGTAAGTCTTCACCTCGTACTCATTTTCGATGTCCTGATAAGAAGAGTAAGCATAACCGGTTACATGGTAGATCATTGCCTGCTTACAGTAGGCTTCAAGGCAATTGTGAATTTGCCAAACTGGGTATGTACCGAGTCTCGAAGAGTGATCCCATTGCGAAGAGTGTTGATCTCCTCCACTGCAAGTACTCGACGTAGCGCAGGGAAACACTTGTACAGTAAAGTCCAGGTGCTTGATGTATCTCTTGGCGCTCCGGACACCCCTGGCCAAGAGGCAAACGCAAAAGGTATGATGTGAGCCCCCTCAGTCGGACCATGGGAAACGTTTCCTGGTTCCCCTTCGTGTTCCCATTGATCGGTATTCAGTTGGCCCGTTATCACACAGCGGTAGTTGTCGCGCAGTTGGAGCTGTGCTGCAAACGAAGAGTCACGCCTTTCCGGTTGATCGAGGGTGGCGGCAACTGTATCGACCTGCTCCTGGCGCTTTGAATGAGGACTTTCCACAACAGAGGGTGCTTTTGATCGGGATTTCACTATGTAGTAATGTTAAGAAAAGTCAACGGATTCTTTTGAACGGAACGTACTAACTCGGTGCAGCAAGTCCGGTGAAAAGGTTCATAAAAACATCATAAAGCTCTCGGCCGGAGCTTGTCTTAAGAACATCCCTCGCGAGCGAGGTTCTGCCAGCCTCTGGTAGCCATGTGAGAAATGCATTCAAGCCGCTTTTCAACAGTGTCTCGTCGCGAAGAGACTGATTTTCATAAGCCTCGATCCTAACTCGGGCGTCTTTCTCCAAGCTGGTCAGTGAGTCTGCAGTGTCTGTGGAGAGTGTTGACAGTCCGCGGGGTACTGTGGGCGGGATGCAGTGAGCGGGGTGCTGTGGGCGGGGGTGCTGTGGGCGGGGGTGCTGTGGGCGGGGGTGCTGTGGGCGGGGATGCCCTTGCTAATCGACGTTTAGCTCGCTGAGTACGTGGAGTGTTGGAAGGTGAAGCTGATCGATTTCTTTTTGCCATTTTACAAAGGGACGTCTTGCAGAGAATTGATAGACGCCAAGGGAAGATCTGCAGAATGTGCCCAGGTGCTTGGTCTGGAGCAGGTCCGTGCCTCGACCTCTCCGCTCCACTTTTATTGTTCACACTCGAACTGACTTCAAAGCTGGGGATTCCTTGATCCTGGGAAGGTCACTAACATGCTCCGAGTGCCTTCTCTCAATATCAAACTTGCTGTATGGTTTTCGTGTGAGTTTGAAAGTCCCAACGGAAGTTCAAGATCTCGGAATTCCAGAGTTTTGGACTGTGAGATCTCACCGCTCCCACATCTACCCAGTTCACCGGCTTTCAACTGCCAAGAACAGTCGTGAACATAACTTCCACGCGCGCCAAGTTCACAATCTTGCTTTGGGGTCCAGATGCCAGTGATCGTATTCTCCACTCCAAACTTGACGTGACTCTACTCCCCTTCTTCTCCTTGATCTGGTTCTTGCTGGGTCCATTCTCTGGATCTGCAGTAAAGCTAAGTGGGAGTCAGCGTTGTTCAGGAATTGTCTGCGGGCTCCAGGAGTATGACTGTGTCTTTCGCGTTGTAAAGGACGCCTCCCCTTGGCCATCTCATCATATTTAGAAGGAAAAAGCTTTTCTATCCATGATCAAGTGCAATGCCACAAGGAGGCAGGTTTTCTGGGCAAATGGACTCGGTCTTAAGTCAACGTATTTAGCCTAAGGCGCTGAAATAGAAAACGGGGGAACGATTCACATATAATGGCCAAGACATGGTTTGCTTTTACATTGGAGATGTCGAGCTTGAGCCATGATGAGAATTCAGAAAGTATGCCGGGTATGTCTGATCCTCAAAGTCATATGACGGTATGAGGGATGATACCCAGTTTCAATGATGCATTCCAGCTCAGGATTTGATATCCATATTTCTCTCGGCAAGCGAAGAGGGCCGAGTCACATGGTGACAGCAGCACCAGGGCATTAACCTGGTATTAGTCAGAATACACGTGACTGGTCTGAGCTCATCATGTGATCTCCAACGAAGTAGTCGAAATGCCGCTGCAATGACAAACCGATGTTCTGTTTGTCCTTCGGATCTTTTGGCCTAGCGAGTTAATGGCCTTCTGTAATCCATCGGAAGTAACCTGATGCGCTTACGGGAGTACAACCACTGACTCTGAGCTCGTGCTGATGTCTACTCAAAGCGCCTGAGTCTGAGCGCCCTGCTTAGAGCGGCGGCAGCCCAAATAGGGAAACCTCACCCGCCAGGGAATACCCGGTACATGTACATGCACATACATATTGATTGACTAACAATTCACGATGTATCGAAAAGACATCACTGTCCGAACGAAACCAAAGCAAATGGCCCCCAAGCCAAATAGTACAGTACATAAGTACCATGAGCTAAAAATGCAATATTTTGGCCCAAGCCCCTACCTAACAGGCCCATATCCCCCAGTCTCGGAAAGCCCTGGTGAGGAGTACTAATCCATATAGGTATTTTAGCGCCGACATCGTGAAGTGAACTCAAGAGAATGCAGCCAGATAAGACAGACAGATAAGAGGAGAAGAAAAAAAAAAAAACAGGTCGCAAAAATTACAATCCCTTTGTCTCGGACAAGCAGCAGAAATCTCATGATTGCACTAGATAGTCCAAAGATTCTGATCCCTGTTACACTTTGTACTCTGTGCAAATATGGAGTACTTCGACAAAATGTGCCGCGAAGGATTAGGACCCCACGATCGACGGATCTGAGGGTTTGGTCGGGCTGTGGATAAGTTCTTTTCTTAGCACGGTCTGGCCGGCTGTGCTTAGGCGGCTGTATGGAGTAGGTAGCAGGAAGCACTATGACGTGAGCAAATTTTCTTTTTCTAGTGTAGGGATCACAGAATAACCAAATGCCTGTGTTTGATAGTCGGTGCTGCACATACACAAAGCATATATTTGAATATGAGTCATCTACTACTATATTCTCAACAGGTCAAATTCAACGGCGGTTTCGGCCAACCTTCCTAGGTGGGGAGGCTAGGCAAGGCCGGAACTGTGCCAAATATTGACTGAGGTGAGGAAGGCCCATGTGCGTTACTCGGGATTTGGAATACACACTCGAGGAAGGACATAGGCAAGGGTTGTTATCTGGGGATGCTTTTCAACAATAATGCGGGGAGGGCAGTCTTGAATGTGCAGATATTTTGTGATTTGTCATACCGAGTAACAGCCTGGGAAAGACATCAATTTGTTGAAATATTTTAAATTTCAACCTCGACTCTTTATAGTAATAGCTAGATCTAAATCTGACTCGTGTTGACTCTCACGGTATGGAGCAATCCATACGACATATGTAGATGTTAAACCAAGAAACACACTTTCAAGGTTGAGGAGTGTAGGAAGTGAAGGTGTAGAAAGACAAGAGACGAAAAGACAGAAACCCTGGTGGAAGATTTGGGGCAATGAGAGAACATCAAAAAGACAAGCAGACCTCCCACGCTGAACTGAGGTATCTTAAATAAAGACGAAGACCGACCCACGCAAAAAAAAATAAGACAAGAGACAAGTAGACCCCCCCCCCCCCCCCCCAAACGAACGAAACAAATTCCGAAAAACAAAAGAAAAACAACGAAATCACATCCGTCGCAACGCAACATCCCCATCCTTCCTCATCCAAGGATACCAAACATTAGTATATTCCCTAACCCCAAACTTCGGCGCGGCCCCATGATCCCCAGCCAACGCAGCCGAAGCCCCCTCCCTCAGGAACTCCCCATCCCGCATGCGCCTCTGCTCCCGCAGGGTAGGACACTTCTTCTCCTTGATAAAGCGGTAAAACTTGCACTGGATCCCCTGGAAGCCGCGTCTCTGACGGTCCGGGAACTGACGATTGAAAGCCTCGCGGACCTCCTTCCACTCCTGACACAGGTCGACGCGGTGGTACCAGATGAAGTACATTTCCTCTTCCTCGTACTTGGGACGGGGAGGACGACGACGGTCGCCACTGGTGGAAGATGAGCTTGAGACGCTTGAGTAACGCTCGCGGGAGTGGTAAGGATCCGGCGAGGAAGGCGTGGATAGCGAGCTCTGGTGTGTGCTTGCACTTCCACGGTTGGTGCTTATGCTTGTTGCTGAGGGCCGGTAGCTGAAGAACATCTGGTGGGATTGGGATGGGTTTACGCTATGATGACTTGCGTTTGTGCTGGTGCTCTGGCTTGTTGCTGTGGTCGTGTTGGATAGTGCCCCCGGGCTGGTATCGTGGTAATTGCGGTTGTACCAGTAGTTTGGGCTTGGGGGGAAGCTCGGTGAGGGTTGGTGGTAGCTGTGGCGGTGGGATGATGGAATTGAAGCATGTTGGGTGCGTGGAGAGATTTCTTCATCGCCTGGATTCAGCAAGGCGTCGATTTTCATTTTGCTTTGACGTGCTGATGGCAGTGTTGCGTATGACTCTGTGTGTGTTGCCATTTTGGAGATCGATTGATTTGCCAATGTGAGGTTTGAGGCTGGAAAACGAAATTTATAGAGACCAAGCTTTGAATCCCTCAGAATGCTCAGACCAGGTCTGATAGTAGAAGTGGGGATATAAGAGGTCTATCTCAAAGAGCCAATGGACAAATGTGAAGTACAGAAGATGAGGAAGTATAAAAAAAAAAAGGTCTTCGGGGTAGCAGGCAAGGTTTATAGATCTCGGAACTATAGAAAAAGAAAAGTTCCTGGAATACAACTTGTTCTTAAATGAAAGAAAAAAGGATTCAGAAAATTGAAAAATAGTTCTTAGACTAACAGCGCTGTTGGGTGCACTGGACCGACTGCCTGGGTCTGGTTGTGTTCCTTTGGCCCCCCTGTATAGCTGTGTACCGCGGATACACAAGGCTCCTTTAGCTAGCAGGGGTCTTTTTTTAATATTTTTTTTTTAGAGGTTTGGTTCCACCCCCAGAGAGACAACATTTTCTTTTCAAATAAAATAATATGAAATAATAATCATAAAAAAAAAGGAATTAAATGGACCGGTGAACCGGCCTTATTGCTCCGTGTTCGGTGTTAGTGGAGAGACCGTATAGACATTATTATTTTCAATTAATGTGATATTGAATGTGGCAACGGGCTTCGGTCTACTCCGATTACCTACCCTTTTTTTCGAATCCGTCCTTTTTCTTTGAACGACACTTTTGTCTCCGTAGATAGCTTCTCTAGCTTGACAATGTCGATCCTCTGGGTTTCTTTTGTTTTCATGGTTTTGTAGATGCAAAGTTACGAAAAAACGGGGCCACGCGGTAACCATAATACAATTTGCCCTTAGCCGTGTGCAATCTTAGCGCCAAGGCGAAGTTTCTGAATGACAAATCGGTTAGTTTTGTTGAATATCAAAAAGCAGTTACCCGAGGAGATTCGAGGACACAACGATTTGCCAAAAGAATCCAAACCCTTTCTCTGTACATGCAGCGCTGCTGCTGCATGAGTGGTTAGGTGATAGGCTCGATTAAGGTTCAGCTTTGGAGATACGAGTTAATAAACCCCCCCAAAAAAACAATTACCAAAATAATTACCAAGAGGTGAAGGAATGAAGAAGCGAAGCAATCGCGTGCATTTCCTGTTTTAGTGGCAGTGTTTCATTTGCGCTGTCCAACGATACTAGGTAGCCCGTTCCTGTGAGAAGTGGATAGGTAGACTAATTGACACCGTCAGATGTTGACTGTGAAATTTTTTTTTCTCTTCAATTTTTTGTTCGGAGTCGTGGATGTGGGAAGGGGGAAAAAGAGTGCAGAGATCAAAGAGGATGAAAAAAAAAACCAACACAAACGCGCGGCGTCTATTGGTAGACGCAAAAGTCATCTGTTGCGACGTGCGCCATGGCCCTGGGATGTCGGGACGAATGAGCGTGAGGGGCTAATGCAAGTTCAATTTGGCACTGCCAACACATCTGTCCAAGGTTGCCAGGCGCATGATGAGGTAAGAGAGAGAGATCCTTGACCGTGGCACATTCCCTGCTCTCCTCTATCCCCTTCAGGGCTATTTACAGAGCCTCGGATATTCCTAGATCTTGACAATGTAACTCTCTCAACCCTTTTACGAAGATTTACCGAACCGTAGATTCTTTTTTTTGTCTTGAGAACCGGACGCGGGGGGAAATTGGGGAAACATCCAATAATGAGCTCCAGCGTCAACTCGGCAGCAGCCGATACAGAAAGCGGATTTCCCGCGCAGTCAACTTGCATCCAAAATATCAAATCCGTGACGATACGTGTCCACTTATGGATTGCCCCTGTCTCCGTTGGTCTCTCGTGTGATATGAATTTTCCTCTGCGTCATTTTTTCCCTCGATCTGCGCCTTGACCAGGACGATCGTCAGTCATCTGCAGCCGCCAACGGCTTGCTTAGATTTTCTTCACGGTTTGGCCGTTTGAAGTATTCTATTTCAAAAAAAATAAAAAAAAATTAGAGAAGTTGACTATGTAGGCAGGTGCACCCATGTATTTTCAGGCATTCTTAGGTATAGTCAGGGTATTAGGTACAATAACCCTTTCTAATGGCCGAGAGACATTGATCCACGCAATCTCCTCAAATTGTCCAGAAAAAGCAGAAACGTTATGATCGTATCTCTGCGGCGCAGTCAACTTGCGCAAGCGTGAAATTCATACTCAATTAGGGCACCATCTGTCCATTCTGTATGGCCCGTTACTTCCGAGACTCCCCCCCCCCCCCCCCCCCCTCTCCTTGGCAAGCCTCTACTCATAGGCAATACTAGTCCCTGAAGCCCCCGATTCCGTGCAGATCGGATCAACATGGCTCCCCCCGGGGCTAAAACCAGCCTTTTTCCCTCTCCCCACTCTATGTTCTTTGTTTGCCGCTCTCCACCAAGTCCAATCACAACATTTTTGGCGTTCGTCAGTCGAGTAGCCGCAGCCCGGTTAAATCACGTGATATTGTGTTGGTAATCTAATTCTTCCGTGACAATACGAACCCCAACTGTCCATTTTGGTTCCCTTACATATTCATTTTTACCGTGAGACGATGTAGAGAGAAGAGATACGCACGAAAGAGTATAGATGCAGATCCTATGCACCGCGCTTGACCCGCCTGTGACCTAGAGATCATCTCCTTCCTGAATAGAAAAATGTCGCCGATGCTCATCCACGGTTGCAGCCAAAAAAAAAACCTGGGTAATTTCCAGGGTTTAATTGTCGTCACATCGCGCGAGTCATGCTGTGCATGTGGGCATGCCCTGGCATTCTAACGGCCAACCATCAGGGCGACCAAAGAAGCAAAAATGAAATTACCTTTTTTTTGGGGGAATTTCTTTTAAATTCAGAACGTGGGCAGATTGGTCCAAAATTCATGTGTCTCGAGCCAATCATCGTCTCTTATCGCTTAACATCTGATCATTTCGTGTTTTCTTTTTTCAATCCTTTGTCTGAGCCGCGTAGATCGGTGAGATGTGTCGAAATTCCCCTTTTTTGGTACTTTTTTTTCTTTGTGATTTGAGTTTTCTTTGTTCGTCGCTTCTCAATTATGAGAACCTAGATATTGTATGCATTGGATTCCAAATTCTATGCCTCCTTTCTCCAGGCTTCTGCAGCCGGCCCAGGCAGGCAAAAGAACTTCATGTGTTGCTTTTAGCGATAGCCGCCGACTGCCCCATGGCCGAAGCACGCAATTAGTTGGGTGACATCATTTCTATCCATGGATATGATCCTGTGAGAAGGCTTATGCATGATACTGCAGATATGAGCATTGTACGGAGTACTTTGACGGGGGACTTTGTGTCCTCACGGTAGAGGTAGAATCCATCTATATCTGGACTCTTCGCTGGCCTCATTTCCTGAAATCTTCTCGCCCGCATTTGAAACGGGATGGCCCCGACAACAGGGCAAAAAAATATGACTCGTTTGATGCGCAAATTTCCGAAAAATGCACTATGGATGTTACATTGTAGGGATATCAGGATCTAACATGTCTTGGATGGGCCCTGGATCTGAGACGCGCAGTGACTGCGCAACAGTCAGGAAACCCACCGTTTTGGAGTGGGCAGAACCGTTGCCTACTGGAGAGAGGAAGAGGGGGATAGAATCCTCTTTCCCCCACACCGGGCCAGATAAAATCTTCTCCAATCTGCAAATCCATCTAAACTCCGTACAGGTGATCTCCCTAGATGCGTGTAAAATTTGGTTTACGACGATCCCTTTGTCGACCGATCCATTTCGGAGATTCTGAATCATTGCCTATTCTGGAGGGGAAGGGAACCCATCGTCCAACCATGGATCGGGGCGTTATGAGGCTCAGATGGATTTGGAGCGAACCTTGGATCGGAGTCGATCCTCCGAACTACGCCGAACTGTCAGATCTAAGAATGCGTGGCATGATTATTTTTTCTTGACTGGACATGAACGTTAGGAGACCGCAGAATAGTGCTTAATTCGGATAGGTGCACATATGCCCGTTGCCAGCTGATTATGCTGTTAGCCAACAACCCAATCATTCATCGCTATCTAACTAGGAAAAAATTTCCCTGAGCCCAGTGAGAATCCTGCGTTGGCGCGAGAGCACCTGACAGTGACCTTCTGCATGCAAGGCGACCATAGTGAAACCCCCGGTAATCCCGCAAAGTGTTGGCTGGTTGGGCCCGCTAAAGGCGTAAAAGCCGGGCGCCAGTGTTGCAACATCAGATCATGGGTCCGGGTAATCTCCAAACTATCTCTTGGCTGCTCAAAACCTTGGGATCCATAAATTATAATTTGTCAGGGAAAAAAAAAATTATATTTTTCGAATTAATAATCAATGATCCCATACCTCCTCTCGGCCTTCCGCTTCGGCTCCGAGTTCGCTCACAAGATATCCAACCTACTCCGTACTCTGTACATAGGGCCCAAATTCAGTCTACCATTCGTCCTCGGAGATTCGGTGTACAATTCAGCCGCATAACGCGCGAATGCAGAATTTATGACACTATCGACACGACGCCTACATTGGCAGGGCGCATGAGCTGCAGTGTGTTTAATTGCGGGAGCTTTTACTACATTTAGTTTAGAGTAGCTCGTGTCCGCCATGCACGTCCACATTCAAACCAGTAGACGCAGACAGACTACATTACGAGGTGCGATATGAGTTCAAATGTGTTGAATCCGATTACATCCACTTTTTGGACCCCACGCCGTCTTTTGCACCAGAATGGGTTCGATCCAGCGAGGCTCATGAGATTGGCCACGATCCTCTCCCTGTTTTTGGTTTGTGTCTGTGCCGTCTCGGCATTTGGGGTGCATCGTCATGCTGGCATCATACTAATTTTAATGCACCCCTGCAACCTTTCATTATTGGACCAGGTACGGATGTCCGCCTCACGAATCAGAAATGGGAAAAATTGATATGCCAAGTTAGTTCACTCTCGAGTATCTACTAGCGCTTCCAGTTTCTTTTTCCATATCCAGTCTAGGCCGAGGAAGGTATGGAGTTCTTGTCTGTCACCTTTG